AAGCAGAGTCTTAGGAGAGTGCAGAGGTGTTACTTTAATGATGGGTCAGCTTGGATTGGAGGAGACAGAAGCAGGGGTTGTTCCAAGAGCAGTTCTGCCCACATCCTTCCCGCCGCCCCTCCAGCTACACACACAAGCACACTCACACCCAGTTCTTATAACGTGGTTGGGTGACTGGAGCAACTGTTGGGACTTGAGAGTACATTGCTTTGTCCAAAGCTTATTCCTAGGGCAGTCACTCCTTTATTTGCCTTATTACCTTGAGACGTTTTAAGAGAGAAGTCTGTGTTTCCCAGGCTGATAGGTAGCACTGTGGGCAATATGAAGCCTTGGAGCACTGGATTGTCTCATTCTTTCATCCGCCGACTGACCAGAGAAAGCTCCCAGCTGTGCCTCCCACTTCATGCTCACCAGCTTCCAGTCAGCTGTCAGCTGCAGTTTGGGCTTTCCTCAGTGTCTTAGGACCAGCTGCCCCAAATAGAATATAAGCTCTTATCTGCTGGTCTGCCCAGTGCCTAGAACAGAATCTGGCCCATAGTTAGTGCTCAGTAAATATTTGTTGACTGATTTCCCTCCTGTCTCTCTGCAGCTCCAGAAACGCTTCATCCTGAATCTGCCAGCCTTCAGTGTTCGAATCATTGACAAAAATGGCATTCACGAGCTGGACAACATTTCTTTTCCTAAACATGGCTCCTAACATCATGCCCTCCTTCACACTTGCCAGGGAACTTTTTTGGATGGGCTCCTTTATTTTTTTCTACTCTTTGGACCTGCACTCTTGATAGGTGGTTAATTCAGAATAAAGCTGCATATGGACAAATTGAGCTCTCTGGTTTGAGTCTCAGTCTGCCTAACGTCACCTCAGGAAGGAATCGGGGGAGGATTGTCTGCATTGGACTTTTTTCCAAGACTGTCTTTCCTCTTGTCCCTTTCCCTTCATCACTGCTCTAATTGCCCTTTAACAGCTGACGGCCCCACGTTCCATTTCACTGCCCTGCTTCCTTCCCATCTAGCTCTTTCATATATCTTGCTTGCTAATGACTCATTCCCTCTAAAGCAGTGGTTCTTTTTGCCCCTAAGCTTAAAGTTTTTTAAATCAGTTAGTTAATTTGAGTGGCCAATACCATGCACTTAATAGAAAATGCAAACAGTACAAAAACACATAGTAAAAATGTCTCTGCCCTCACTATAATTTGATCACCTGCTTCTCTTCCTAGAGGAAACTTCAGCTACTAATTTCTTATCCTTTAAGAGACATGCTGTTCCTGTATAAAGCGTGTGCGCGCATGTGCGTGCCTACACACATGCAGACGTCCCCTTTTAATTTTATGTAATTTTTTTTATTTTTCTTTTTTCTCCCAAAGCCCCCCAGTACACAGTTGTGTATTTTTAGTTGTGGGTCCTTATAGTTGTGGCATGTGGGATGCTGCCTCAGCATGGCTTAACGAGTGGTGCTGTGTCCGCGCCCAGGATTCAAACCAGCGAAACCCTGGGCCACTGAAGCAGAGTGTGCGAACTTAGCCACTCAGCCATGGGGCCGGCCCCAATTTTTTAATTTAATTTTTTTTTTCCTAGACATCCCCTTTTAAAAATATTTTAAATGTTCTACACATTGCTTATTTCATTTAACACTATATTGGAGTTTGTTTTATATCAGTACATATATAGCTACTTTATTCTTGTTGACAGTTGTATAATATTCTGTTAAATCGATGCACTCTAGGCACTTAGCCAGATATCTGTTTAACTTCCTAATCTAGCTTTTTGGGAGTGAATAATATAGATATTTTTTGATTGGTTCCACTAAAACAGTGGTTCTTTACCAGATGTCTGTATGAGAATCACCTGGGGAGTTTTCTTTTTTAGTCTACATAATTAGGCTGCATTCACTCCCGGATTCTAAGTAGGTTTGGGGCCTAAACATAGGAATATTTTTTAAAGCTTCTCAAGGTATTCTTATCTTCAGTAATGATAGAGAACCGCTAGATTTGAAACTTCTTTGGAGCAGTGGTCCTCAACTTTGGCATGCCTCCCAGTCCGCTGCAGGACTTACTGTAGCACAGCTTGCTGGCTCCTACTCCTATAGTTTCTGCGTGTTTGGGGTATGGCCTGAGATTTTGTGTTTCTGACATTTCCAATTACTGCTGCTGCTGGTCTGGGAGCCACACTTCGAGCACCATTTCGTCTTAAGATAAGCCCTACTTTATCTAATTCTAATTCTTTGCTACTCTTAATATCACATACAGATAGGTTTTTGGTTTATCTGCAGTGAAATGTATCATTTCTAAGATACTACCTCTCTAGAACATTCATATTAACAGTATTGAGTTAACATCATATTTGAATGTCATACACTTTTTCGTACACCAGTGGTAAATGCTTTATACCATAAGGAGAAAGCTAATCATAGAATAAACGGGGGAGGGGAGGAGTCACATCACCACAGCTGCTTCAACCTCCAACACCACTATGAATATTCATGGCTTTGGGCTTTTAGCTAGATTCCTGAGTCTCTCTCTAAGGCATCTATTCTAAAGTTCCACAGATGATTCTGATGCTTGCCTCAGGTGAGTACCACTACTAAGGCAGAGGCAATCCTGCTTCATGGTTTTCCCATGAAAACCATGGGGTTTTCCATCTATAAAATGGTCATAATTGTACCTGTTCCATGGGGGAGGTTCTGAGGATTCCATGAGATAAAGTAAAGCATTTAGAACGGCCTGGCAAGTAAGTGCTCAGTAAGTATGTTATCAATGGTAACCTTGTTATTCTCCATCCAGGCCTCTCCAGAAATGAACTGGTTCTCTGTCTTTGAATGTAAGTGTCCTCAGGGTAATCTCAGGCAAGCCTACCAGCCCATCCTGACTCCTAATCTCTTTTCTCTAACCCAGATCTCTTTTCTGAGTTCCAGATCAACTTATTCTTCAGTATCTTACCCTCCAGCCAGAGGGACATCAAACTCAACATGTCTGAAGCTGAGCCTTACCATCTGCCATCCTCTAAACTTCCTCTGCAGCATTCTATCTTAGAGAATTAGAGCCACTTGGCTCCCAAGTGCCCAAGCCAGAAATTTAGGCATCATTTATTTATTTAAGCTTGGCACCTGAGCTAATATCTGTTACCAGTCTTTTCTTCTTCTTCTTCTTCTCCTGAAAGCCTCCCAGTACATAGTTGTATATTGTAGCTGTAGGTTCTTCTGGTTGTGCTATGTGGGATGCCGCCTCAGCATGGCCGGATGTGAAGTGCCATGTCCGCGCCCAGGATCCAAAATGGCAAAATCCTGCGCCGCCGAACCACTCGGCCACGGGGCTGCCCCCAGCATCATTTATTTTTAATAAACTTATTTTGGAATAAATTTGGTTTTACAGCAAAGTTGCGAAGATAATACAGAGTATCCTTATACCCCTCACCCAGTTTCCCCTAACATTAATGTTGTCCATAGCCACGGTACATTTGTCAAAACTAAGACACCTGCATTGGTTGGTACGTTAGTATTAACTAAACTCCAGGCTATATTCAGATTTCGCCAGTTTTCCCACTAATTGTCCTTTTTCTGTTCTAGGATACAGTTCAGGATACCACATTGCATTTAGCTGAGCATCATTTTTTATTTCTTCTTTTTCTCCTGCCTTTACATAGTCACCAAGATCTGGCATTTTTACTTCCTAAATCTCTTAATAAAAATCTCTGTCCCCATTATTCTGGTTTATCCTGCATCATTTCTTTCTTAGACTATTTTAACAGCCTCCTAACTTCTTTCTACTTTTAATCTGTTCTCTGTCCAGTTCTTCTCTGTACTCTAAAACCACGTTTGATCATTCATTCCTCTCCTCAGTTAAAACTCAATGATGTTTTTCCATTGCTTATAGAATAAAGCCCAATTCTTTTAGTTTGACATGCTAGGCTCCCTGATCTAGCTCCCCAATTTCCTTTCCCTCTTCTACATCTCCTAAAGCCCATGATCCAACTGAATTTATGTGGCCTCAGCATAGATTTATGACGTCACCCCTCTTTATATACTTACTGTGAAAACAGTAAGCATTGCTTTGTGGAACTTTTTACAGATATGTATATAAGTGTGCTCGAGTCACAATGCAGTGCACGCTGGTATTTTTCTAATCTGTTTTCTTCTATCAGATTTTATTTTTTTAAATGCCACCTGTGTCCCTGTAAATCGATTTCCTGAAGTTTGAAAAACGCTGGGAATGCACCGATTCTTTAACATTCCTTACCAAACACTGCTCAGAATGGTCTTCTGATGGGTTCCCATCTGCTTTCAGGTGATTAATACAGTTTATTCCTTTCCAGGCTTGGGGTGAGAGGGGATAGGTTGGAGGAGAGAGCAGCTGTTTGCCTCAGGGTAGGGAAGCTCAGCTCTGACTGGAGAAGAGGTCTGTGAGGCTGACAAAGAACCTCTAAGAGAGACGGAAGAGGCACTGGAATAGCTTGGGAAGCTCTCAGTGGTGTTGCCGCTGAGCAACAGTGGCTAAGCCTGCTCTGCCTGGATCCTGGCTAATGCCTGAAGCCCAGAGTCCTTTCACTGTCTCTTCACCTTGACCCTTGGACTAAAGCAACAGCCATGCCCAGTCAAGAGAAGGAGGGACATTCCCGGGATCCTTTCTAGATGTCTGCTACTCGCTGAGCTCCTGTGTGTGAGTTACGAGTTTGTGTTTGGGAAGAGAAAGGCCTGCATCTCTTCCTTTATGAGGTTTGAGGGAGGGAAGCTTTTCAAAGGCTTCCTTTTTCTTATTCCTCCTGAGCACTATGATCCTTTAAAAGAAAACAGGAAAGTCTTGTCTTTTAAAGATTGGCACCTGAGCTAACATCTGTTGCCAATCTTCTTTTCTTTTTAAATTCTTCTCCCCAAAGCCCCCCAGTACATAGTTGTATATTCTAGTTGTGAGTGCCTCTGGTTGTGCTATGTGGGATGCTGCCTCAGCATGGCCTGATGAGCTGTGCCAGGTCCACACCCAGAATCTGAACCAGTGAAACCCTGGGCTGCAGAAGCGGAGTGCACGAACCCCAACCACTCAGCCATGGGGCTGGCCCCAAGAAAGTCTTTTTTTAAGTGAAAGTCTTTAAACTCCCAAAATCGTGATGCTTACCCAATCTAAATACTCTTTCAGTTTGCAGCTACTTGGCAAAAAAGAAGCTGTGTAAACCATCCGTGTATACTTTTTCTTTAATCATCGTCCACTTTTGCTTAGGGCTAAACCAAACAAGTCAGTGGCTAAAACACTTTTTGCTACGGGAAAAAAGACAACCAAAAAACCTTACTGGGAAGAATCAAATGCAGAGACCTCATCAGAAGCTTCTTCTGCCACTTATAGTCTCCACACTGTCCTGCTGCCTCTGCACTGTTAGAACCCTGACCATGTACTGGAGGAGCAGAGCCTTGGGGCCCAAAGGCCTGGGAGGACCTGCTTCCCCTCTCTGGGCTCAGGCCCCTGAACCTCTCTGCAGAGGGCCATGTGGTACAGTGGAAACGAAGGGATTGGTGGATCAGACAGATCTGCCTGCGTCCCATTTACCAGCTCTGTGACCTTGGGCGAGTTGATAAGATTTTCTTATCTCTAAAATAGGATTGGTCAGGACTACATGGTTAATTTAGGGAAATTTATCCAGCACTGAAAAGTTTGTGATAACCTAGTTTCTTCCTTTTTCACCTTAGAGGTACTTACAACCTTTTACTATGTGGTGGGCATTGTTTAAATACTGTATATCTGTTATTTCATTTAATCCCTTCAACTTCCCATAGTCTAAGATAATTTTAGTTGAATGTGTCTTGCCAGACCCAGGGCTTTGGTTAAAGCAGAGCATGCTTCCAGCCTTTCCTCCATTCCTCCTTTCATATGGGTGGGTTGCGGCAGCGAAACTTCTTGGGAAAAGGAATCACATCTTTGGACTTTTACCCTGGGAGATGATGCCTAGACCCCATGTTCCCTTCTGCAAAACACTCAATATCTGTCTCTGACAGCACACCTACAAAGAACCGGGGGAAGAGCATACCAAGCAAAGAGAACAGTGAGTGCAATGGCCCTGAGGTATAAAACAGAGTGGTAAATTGAGGAACAGAAAAGAAACCAGTGTGGCCAGAACAAAGGGAATGATGAAGAGAATAGTTTAAGATAAGGTTGAAGAAGTAGGCGAAGTCCAGATCATTGCAGGGCCTTAGTATGAAGTTGTACCAGGGAGGCCAGTTGCAAGACAGTTGCAGTGGTCCTGAGGACTAGGGTGGTGGCAGAGGAGAAAGAAAGAAGATCATGGACTTTCTGATGGATTGGGTGTAGAGCAGGGATCAAATATGACTCCCCGGTTTCTGGCTTGAGCAACTGGGTAGAGGGTGGTGCCATTTACTGAGCAGGAAAGTGTGAAGGAGGTCAAGATTTGAGTACTTGACATAAATTGAAGATGTGTGTTAGACAATCCACTGGAGTGATCAGGCAGGCAGTTGTACATCCAAGCCTGGAATTCAGGGCAAAGGCCCCAAGGAAGGCCCACGGTTAGAGATTAAGTAGAGAGGGAACCAGAGTTGAAACCAGTGAGGTCAGAGGAAACCAGAAGTTGGAAGCCACAGAGAAGAGAGTGTTTCAGAAAAGAGTAAGTGGTCAGCCATGTCAAATGCTGCTAAGTCTAGAAAAAAGGCCTTTGGATTTGATACTGTGGCCATTGAAGACCTTGCTGAATGGATTTCAGTAGACTGGAATAGAAGCCAGACTGAAGTGAGCTGAAGAGTGAATTGGGGGTGAGGAAGTGGAGATAGGGATAGCAATCTTTCAAAAACTTAAACTGCAAAGGAAATAAATGGGAAAGGATTTATGTTTTGTAAGAGATCCTAGAACGTGTGCTTTGGGGAATGATTAGTGGACGATTCAGTAGAGGCAGGGACTGATGATGCAGGAAATAAAAGATGCCTGAAGAGAGAAATCCTCAAGAAGAACAGAGAGCTGGATTAGCATTGGCCAGACACATGTAGCCACCTGCATGCACACTGACACATACAGACCCACCACCAGGGGTCATGGTAATATGGACCTAACGCATTCACACACTGACACATTCACACACAGGCCCACCAAGTCAAAACGGTATACATACTGACCCAGGATTCCCTTCACACACCACACAGAACAGCCACAATGACAAACCAGAGAGATCCACCATCTGTACCCCGCCCCCCAACCCCTGCCACACACACAGGTGCCCACAGCTCCTTCCCATGATTTCCCCTTAGAGGCCCCTTCCCACTCGAACCCCTCCTCCTAATTCCAGGCTCTGCCTCTCCCCAGTGACCTTGCCCTCTTCGGAGGCAAATCCAGGCCTGGGCTGAAGAAGGACAGAGAGGGCTTCATATCCAATGAAAAGGTTTTATTAAGAGAATGAGAAAGCAATCTGAGAGGTGGGGAGGTACAGTGATTGCAGGGTCAAGAGAACAACAGCAAATACGAAATCCCAGCGACAACCTCAGGGTCCCTGACACATCGTTCTTCCCTCCCAGCCCACCCACAGCCCTTTGCGAGCAAAAACACCCTCTCTATTCTGGTCCGGCTGGACATCTCAGTGCATGAGCAGAAAAGAGGGAAATGAGTCCTCAGCTTATTGGGATAAATAAGTTGCACTGGACATTTTTAAACTTTCAAATTTAATTACAACATACATAAATAAATAGGACAGACAGCAACAGGAGTGAAGTGCAGCCTGGATTCAAGTTCTCCAATTTGTGCTTTATCTTCTTTGATCCTGAGGGCCCCTCCTGCCCACTTCCTTCCAAGATTAGGAGGGGTCCAAAGAGCCCACTGGGGCTTCCTGCCAGCAGCCCTTTTCTGGGGGTAGGAGATTCTGGATGAGGAGCACATCTCCTCAGTAGCACCTCTGGTTTGTTAACATTTTCCTTCCTGCCATCAGTAAAAACAGCAAGGCCTTGGCCCCTAGGAGCACCCATTGCTACCCAGGCACCCTAATGGGCGGGGCTCAGCCCCAAGAACCAAGCTTTCCCATGCCAATTTCCTGTCTAAGCACTTCTCAGCAATCAAGGGTCAGAAAATTGCACATGAGGCAGATGCCTGAGCCCTTATCAACAAACCACCACAGAGAGGCCACCTCTCCTCTCCAACCCAGACCCCGAACTCAGGGGTTTCTGGATGAATGTCCTCTTTCTGGCCTAACTCCAACCCCACCTTTTAATCCTTTCAGGCCCATCCCCAGGAGCTAAGACCTCATTTCGGGCCTCAGGAGCCCCTTAGGGATGGGGCGGGGGAAGCGGTTATTTCCGATGCTTGGCATCCTTCTCTGAAGCCTTAGTGTCACCATGCCCGCTGCCCGCACTGCTTAGAAACATCTTGTCCAGCCCCTTGAGTGACTCCAGTAAGTAGTTCTGGAAGGCAGTGAGGGCAGCACAGATGGCGGGCCCACCGAAGCCATGGGTGATGAGGCTAAAGTGTGTCAGGCAACTCTGCACTCCGGGCTCCAGGATGAGTGCTGGGCGGCTGTTCCCCAGTGGTGAGCGGTCCTGAGCCATCAAGTCTGCAAACTCCTTGCAGATCTGCCTGGTGGGGGAAGGAGGGTCAGAGGTTAAAGAACAAAGGTCTGAGCCCAGAGAAGGACCTACCACGTGCTGGGTACTTTATATGTATTATATTTATGATGGCTGACCCTGCCAATAGTCTGCAAATGATGATCATACCCATTTTTCAGAAAAGGAAACTAAGGTTAAGAGAGTTTAACTGACTTGCTCAATATCACACAACTAGTAAACAGCACATGTCAATACCCTACAATCTCTCTTCCTGTGGGTATCCTGCCCACATTCAAATTCCAGCTCAACTATTGCCTTATCCTGGAAACTTTCCTTGATCCTCTCTCCCCCTCTCACCCCCACCACACACACTCAATGCTTCACAGAGCTTTGTCTTTGAAATTTTTTGTTGTTAGTGCCATCGAGTCGATTCCAACTCCTAGCGACCCAGTGTACAGCAGAGCAGAACCCTGCCTGGTCTTTTTGTACCATCTTCTCACCTTCCAGTGCTCTATCAGACAATGCTCCACTGCTAATCATAGGGTTTTCATGGCCAATGTTTTTGGAAGTGGGTGGCCAGGTCCTTCTTCCTAGTCGGTCTAGTCTGGAAGCTTTACTGAAACCTGTCCACTAATGGGTGACCCTGCTGGTATTTGAAATACAGGTGGCATAACTTTCAGGATCACAACAACAGCAGCCGCCACGGTATGACAATCGACAGATGGATGGTGTGGTTCCCTGACCGGGAAATGAAACCAGGCCGTGGTCGTAACAGCGGTGAATCTTAACCACCAGACCACCAGGGCTGGCTGTCTTTGAAATTTTTAGGGAACAATCCAGAATCTACCTTGAATAATTAATAGCTAACAGTGAACATGAATTGAGGCCTAGACGCTATACCAAGTATACTATGCATCATCTCACTCAATCCTCACAACAAATCTATACCGTTATTATCATCCCCATTGTATGATGAGTAAACTGGTTTCAGATAGGTTAGATGACCTGCCCAAGTGACTAAGCTGGGATTTGAATCCAGCTCCAGTTTGTGGCCGTTATTCATTTCTTTGTGCATCCTGCATGTGGCTCAGGCAGGAGGATCACTCATGTCTAAGCTTTGTCTCACCATGGAACCCAGCCAGCATCTTAGACATGACTGGGACCCAGGAAGTTCTTGATGAGTGAGCTGACTAATGAGTGTGATGAGTCCCCCTGGATATGTTTCTCCAGCGACAATATGAGCAGCCTCAAAGGTCCTAGGAGTCATGGCAGTCCCCTGAGTCTGTGATTTCACCTCTGCCTAGGGGACTTGAGGAAGCCTCAAAGGAGGGAGAGCGGAGTTGTGATTTGAAGGACTGCATTGGGTGAGGGGACTGGAGGGTGTTCTAGCAAACCCAAGGACGTGAGGACAGGAGAGAGCAAGCAGGTCAGTTAAAGTGGTTGGGGTTTGTGTGGCCAGATTGTGGGCCCTCAGAGTCTGGACTTGGCCCCACAGATTGGTGGTTTTCAAAATTTTTTTTCACTCTTTCCCTCTCTTTTTCTCTCTCTCTGTCTCTTCTTGAAAGGGGACTCTTTCTAAAAACTAAATCTTAATGGAATACCAGCTCATTAAACAGGCCCTGCGGCATCCCCACAGAACCTAGTTTGAAAGTCCATGCAGTAGCAGTGGGAGCTATTGAAGGTTCCTGAGCAGGAGAGCCGTGCATGTGCAGGAAGGCTGAGGGAGCAACGGAGCGCTGGGGTGAGGGGCCAGAAGTGAGATGAGGAGACCAGGGTTGAGGGGACAGTATGTGAATGGTGGTGAGGGAGACACCAATGAGATTTGCAGAGGGGACTGTGTGGGCATTGGTGCTCCGATGGAAGTCACTAGAACAGAAGGGCTGATGGGCAAGGCTCAGGCAGGGAGAGCTCTGCAAGACCACAGAAGCCCAGACCCATGATAGGACTGGGGCTGGTCATGCCATGGGGCAGTATATGGGGTGTGGTACCCACACAGGCCTAGGTAAGCCTCTCTGTGACACGGTGTTTGCTGATGCATAGAATCCAGATATGTTACGTGTCCATTTGTGCCCCTGTGGCATGCACAGCATGGAGCCTGGGTGTGCCGGTGTGTGGTGCCATTTGTACATCACACGTGCACATGAGTGGTGTCCACTGTGACCATGCTTGGTGTCTATGTGCATTGCACCTACACGTGCCTGTTGTGGCACCCCATGACATCCTGTGCATGGTGCCCCAAAGTGCCCACACATGGCATCCTCACTCACTTGGCGGCCAGCAGCATGCTCTTGCGGCTGTGCAGTTCCCCGGGGTCAGAGTGCTGTCGGCACAGGTACTCGGCAGCTGCCTTGGCTGGGAACTCGGTCTCACAGACGTAGCCAAAGTCTCGGGCCAGGTGCACAGCCTCTCCTGGTGGGGACGAGAGTCAGAGATGAGCCTTCACTACAGACAGGTGTACGTTTGAGCCCGGAGCACAGCCTTGACCCTCCGATCCCCTGGCCAGGGGCCATCCTGCCCTGCCCTGTCCTGCTTCTACAGATACCTTCCTCTGATGCCCCGCCACAGCCCAGCTCCAGCACTAATCTCATTCCCCTCCCTCAAGGCCACAAGGGATGGGCTCTGAGCTCAGGGGTGGGAGCTGAGTCCACCATGTATCCCAAAGCCTGAGCTGGAGATGACCAAGCCCAGCATCACCAACCTCCAGGGAAGGAAGGAACCTTCACCGCTCATCCCTTTACCACATCCAAACACTGGCCACTCCTCCCCGCATACACACACATACACATGCTCTCTTTTGTGTGGGTGCATCCACGCGTGTGCATGCACATACACATAAAGACTCTACACACATATCACACACACTCCTTACTTAGACATGACACACAGAGAACACACACGTGACTAAACATACCCTGCCGCATCAGAGACAGCCACACAGTCACACTGGATGACACAGGTCCCCTCATGCTCACACGCATGCCCACCCTCAGGCCTCACTCACCCTCCACCAGTGAAGTCAGCAGCGTCACATTGGCAGCCTTGCGACGGCCGGCCGGCAAGTTGAGCCCGATCTTCTCCAGCCGTTCCCGCAGGCACCGGCCCCCGTTCTTGGACTTGGCCCTTGACGTGCACAGAGAGAGACAGACACACACTATGAAGACAAGAGAGAAGCATGTAGGCTAAGTGACCCCGATGGGGCCTTGCTGCCTCCACCAACCCCTGCTGAGACTTGGGTCTGGCTCTGGGGATGCTCTGGGGCCTCTTTCAGCCTGGTTCCAACCTCTTCCTAACCTCACTGGCTTTGTAGCCAAGATGGGGGCGGGGGGCCTAGTACCCAGCTCCAGGAGCCCTTCATTTCTCCCTAATCCTCTCGCAGCAGGAACAGCCCAGGGTGGGGCAGAATAGGCCAGCATCTTGGGGTCCTTTTTCCCACTTTAGCACACCTGTTGGGCCATACACAGCTACCCAGAGACACGCAGACCTATATGCAGAGATACACAGGAGACACAGGTACACACACAGTCACTCTGGGACACATAGATAATATACACACACACAGGTAAACACACTGAGGGCCAAGAATAAAGACACACACACACCAATAGAGAGAGACATATGCAGACACAGACACCCAGGGACACAGGGACACAGAGACACATGTTCACATCAAGTCAGGATCCCAGGGACATGTGTACAGACACTGATGGACTCACACAAGTCCCTCTGCTGTGCTCAGAGACCAGGAATAAGAAGATACCCCCACACCTGCACAAATGCAGCCCCTACACAGAAGTACAGACAGGTAAACATACGTACATCAGCTTCAGATGTGCATGCAATCACACAAACACACACAGAGTAGGACACACTCCAGCCAACACATCCACTAGAAGTAACACAGGAAACTCACACTCATGGAAACATGTATTCCTGGCCATCCCCTACACCACAGACACATGCACACATATGCACACACCATCCTGAACACATCAAAACTCATAGCCTTGAAGCACAAATACCCTACCCAGGCACAAGGACATGCAGAGAGAGAGACAGACACATACCTATGAAGACAAACCATGGACCCCTAAACACACACCAGAGAGGCCTCTGCTCCACAGGGAATGGCTGTGGGTCCTGGGGTCCCTTTCCTGGAAGAGGGGGTGAAGATGGCACTCTCTCTTCCCCAGACTCAGCCTTGTCCATCCTGCCCAATGTTGGTGAGTCCTCCATCCCTTCTCTGTGCCCAGGCTTCTTTCTCCACCACCCACCCCCAAGCCCACAGACTTGTGGTTGCTGCTGGGGACCTGGGCCTCTCCCCAGAGCATACACAATCCCCCAGGGAGACCAAGGTGGACGTGACCCTGTGGCCTGGGGTGAGGCTGGCCCCTCTCTGACCCCCTGAGAAGGTCTGAAATGACCATGGATTTTGGCCCAGGCACTGTGCAGGGAGTTGTGGGCTGGCCTTCCTACCTGCGAAGGACGCCACCCAGGAGGGAAGCATTGAGGCACTCAGGAGGAGAGAGTCGCCGCTGGACCTCCCCCACCGTCACCTTGTACTTGGACGTCGAGCTGAGCAGTGAGAGCCGGCCTGGCACGGAGCAGAAGACCTCACTGGGGTTCGTGATGCCGCCAACCAGGCTGTCTTTGGCCAGTGAGAGGGCTGAGAGGCTGCTGGCTTTGGAGGGGATGGGGACTGCGGAGCAGAAGCAAGGGCCAGGGAGAGAGAGACAACACTGAGCCAGGGACACAGCACACGGGCACCAGCCAGCTGTGGCATGAGCACGTTGATGAAGCGCCAGCTGTGTGCTGGGCACCCTGCTACATGCTGTGCACACAGAGCTGCATCTAAATGTGCCAGCAGCTTTCTGAGGGAGGCTCTGCAACTCCTGCTTTACAAAGGAAGAAAGTGAGGCACACTAAGGTTCACGTGACTCACCCAAGTCTACTCAGCTAATAGGCAGTGGAAATTGAACCCAGAGCTGTCTGGCTCTTGAACCTGTGTTCACTGAGGGATTCACTGAGCCAGGCTGGTTCTCTGTTAAAACTCAGACAACTTCAGCAGAGTCTTGGAGTTTTGGCATGTGCAATCAGGGAGGGAGATGGAAATGAGGAAATGGATCTGAGCTGGAGGCAGGATTCCTGGGTCACTGTAGCAGGGCAAGGCAGATCTGCACAACCACAAAGAGTCCCTGACATCCCCCTGGCCACTGTGACCCCTATCTCTTTCCCACCCCCAGGACAGTGAGAGGCCGGCAGGCTTTGGACTCCCACATCCCAGGGACAAGGAGGTTGTGGCCCCATTAGGCCTCCAGCCTTGGCCCACTTCCTGCCACATCACCCTGAGTTGCTCAAGGAGAGCAGGAATAAAGAGGCGCACCCTCTCTCCCAAATGCTCTCTAATTATCAACGAATATCTATGGGAGGCGGGGAAGGGACTCTGAGAAGTTAATTTTATAAAACCTTCTTGGATACTCTTGGCTCTAAAAGAAAGTTCTTCCTGCAGTCTAACCTCTATCTTCCTGCTTAGCATCAGGGGGAAGGGAGAATAATTGAGGCACTTGCTTCCCCTTGGGCTTCTCTTCTTTCAAGGAAGTGGGAGCATGGTAGAGAAGGTGGGCCTTGTGTGGGGGGCAGGCAGGGATCAAGCTGGGAGTCTGGGACCAACAGTTACTGAGCACTCACTATACTGTGTGCTTACACAGATAACCTCACTGAATCCTCAGAACAACCCACTAGGGGTCTACATTTATTATTCCCATTTTACAGATGAAGAGATGAAGCCTGAGATCACACAGGTGGTAGACTTAGAACCAGTAGTAAGCCCTGGACTGTGGTCTCAAAGGCAGTGCTCTCAGCCCTCCAGCCATTCGGCACTATTTGCTGAGCACCTGTGTGCCAGGACTGTGCTAATGCAGAGGTAAGCAAGGCTGATCCTGTCCCCGGGCTGGCAGAGCCCCTCCAGCATTCCCACTCTCCACCCAGTCGCCCAGCCAGAAACCTCCATGATGCCCTCCACATCGCCCTCTCCCACCACATCCCACCCATCACCATGTCCTGGAGCTTTCATTTCTCCATGTGTCCTGGATGCAGCTCCTTCTCTGCATGCACAGAGATGCTCGCTAGCTTCCCGCTTGAATGTCTATACAGACCCTGCTCAGGTCTCCTGCCCTGCTCCAGAAGAATCTTTCTGAAACACGCATCACTCTGCAGCCTAAAACCCATCAGTGCCTGGTCAGTTCCCTGAGAACCAAATCCCAGCTCCATAGCTGGGCAGAATCATGCTGCCCATCCTTCAACTATCTACTACGTGCTTTCCATGAACAGCTCTGTGGGGGCCGCCCCATGGCGTAGTGGTCAAGTTCGGCGTGCCCTGCTTCAGTGGGGCTTTGCAGCTTTGGATGCAGGGCACAGACTTACAGCACTCATTAAGCCATGCTGTGGCGGTGACCCACATACAACATAGAGGAAGACTGACCACAGATGTTAGCTCAGGGTGAATCTTCCTCAGCAAAAATAATAATAGTAACAGCTCTGTGGAGCAGATGCTATTATCCATCCCCATTTCAGAGTGAAGAAACTAGAAGTTCAAAGAGGTTAAGATGGCACAGCAATAAGGAGGAGAAGTGGGTGTTGAACTCTGACCACAGACTCCAAAGTTCATATCCTTAACCCTCACAATTCCCTCCTTCACCCTCCTTCGTGGTCCAGCCGATGCCTTACCTCTCCTGCTTGGTCCTCCATTTGTCCTTTAGGCTCTCAACCCACACTGACCAATAGAAATATACTGTGAGCCACATATTAAATGTAAATTTTCTAGTACCTCATTTACAAAAAGTAAAAAGAAACAAGTGAGGTTAATTTTAATATATTTTATTGACCCCAATATATTAAAATTTTATCAGTGACATGTAATCAATATTTTAAAAAGCAAAAATGAACCATTTTACATTCTTGCACTTAGTCTTCAAAATCCAGTGCTATTTTACACTTACAGCCCATCTGAATTTGGACTAGCCACATTTCAAGTGCCCAATAGCCACACGTGGCTAGTGGTTCCGCAGTGGACAGCACAGCTCTAGACTTCAAAGGGGGAGCACAACAGGTAACATAAGCCAGCGAGGTATGGGAGACGTGCCACCCTAGGTAAAGCCACCACTTGGCTGAGTGTTCCCCTGCAGGACACACCAACGTTGCCAGAACTCCCAGTTTGTTTTTTTGGCTGGTGAGACCAGGATTCTGGATTTCTATGTGAAATCTCTGGGTTTTTAAACATTGGCAACAGATTCAAAAATTTAAAAACCCAGTTCTGGCCAAATGGAACATGTGTGAAGCACCACCTGAGATATGGGACCACCAGCGTGTGAGCTGGTGGAACAGCTCACTGTCTCTCTCAGGGCCCCCTCCTTCCAAGCCTCGGTTCAGGTTTTGGCACCATCCCTGGTACAGAGCTTCCCGTCCCTCGGCCTCAGCTCCCTCTCACGCCATCCCTGTCCTGACCACACTGAACTTTCATGTCTGCTTCCACGGCTGCCTCTCCCACCAACTAGGAGTGCCTTGAGGGCAGGGTTTTGGCCCAAGTGGGCATCAGTGAATGCGGAATAAATGAGTGACACAAGGGCCCTTGAAACCTGAAATGAGGAAAAGAGTGATGGCCCACAGCCCAGGTTGTGTGTGAGGGGACGATGGGGGAGCCTCATTCCTTTGTTAGCAACTGATAGTCAAGCTGCCCTTCCTCCCTGGGCCCCCATTCGGGCACCAGGGAGGGCTCAAAAGGTCATGGATGGGGTGAGTGGGAGAGGTGGGCGGATCTAGAGAAAGGGAGCAGCACACACCCTACCCCAGGCAAGTTCCCTGTCCCCAGAGCAGGCCCCAAACTAGGGTGAGGCAAGTGAGGCGCAAACCTTGGGTGCAAAATTTAAAGAGGTGCCAAAAAACTCAGCCATCAAGATAAATAGTATTTTAATGCAATATTAAAAAAATAAAAATTAATGTAAAAACATCCATGGTGACAAAATATCAAAATTTTAATTAGAAACAGGTTCTGATTCTGCTCTTGCACGATCCTGCCTCACTCCCCTTGCCCTCATCCCAGCCCTCTCCCAGAGTGAGAAGCAAGGATGTCCTCACTCAACAGACACACTGACAGTGGACATGCAACGGGAGCGCTGCCTTCCTCCCCCCCAACATCCCCCAGGCCTGTGCATGGGTTCCTTCTTCACCTGTGTCCCTCTGCCTTGAGGAGAATCTTTGGGCTGACAAAACTATTCTACATCTTGATTGTTTGAGTGGTGACATGACTATATGTTTACATTTGTCAAAATTCATAAAAATGCATATCTGCAAAGGGCAAACTGAACAGTATGTAAATTGTACCTCACGCTTGATTTAAAAAATAAAACTACAAATTAATAAAATAAAAAGAAGGGCAGAGCGACTCTCCTCCCTCTCACAACCTCTAGCCAGAGAGCAGTCAGAGGAACAGAAAATTCTCTCCTCCAGCAGCCTCCTCCATCCAACTTCTAATAAAACCTGGGGCCCCCTGGGGCCGGGTGCTGTGAGAGGGGCGTGAGACTGTTCGTGCATGTGCAAACAGGGACATATGTGAGCACACGTGTGTCACAAAAATGACTGTACACAAACACTGTATGCCCTGTCATAGAGCAATGAGGGTGAGACCGTGCATTTGCACACTTACTCAATAAATACTGAGCCCCAGGTATGCACACAGCATAGTCTCTGCCCTCCTCTAGTGCTGCAGGAATGTGGCAGCATGCATATGGATATCTGCAAGTGCTTTTGCTCCTGTTGATATATTTAAACACAGAGTGTGTGCCGGATTTATGCAAACGTAGGTGCAGCTAAGCGTGGATGCCTGACAGGTGGCCATGTGTTTGTGGACATGAATGATAGACTTTGCTGCTTCCCCTACGTGTCCTTTTCCTTTTCCTCAGAGCCTCTTCCCTCAAAAATGGTAAGAGGGATGGAGCCCAAGGTTAGGGAAGCAAGTGGCCTGGGGAAGGGACAGTCATGGAGGTGGGACTTAGACTGGCACAGATTGCAAAGCAGGGACACTGATGTTTGTCTCCCACACCACGGTGACTCCTGAAGCTGAAGTGGTCTACTCATGGTGTCCCCCCGGTGACACAGCAGAAGTGATTCCCATATACACACTTCTACAGACACGAGAGCTCCTAGTAATTCAACCTGTCAGACGAGACTCTCACACACATCTACGCAGTATACGGTCTGACCACTGAATCTGGGGCGTGTGCAACAGATTCTCCTGGAAAGCTGGTTAAAGTCGCAATTCCTTCTAGAAGAAATCGTAGGAGGAAAGTCTTTGTGACCTTGGTTGGGGCAAAGAGTTCCTAGATACCACGCCAAAAGCATGACCCAGAAAAGAAAATAATGACAAATTGGACTTCATCAAAATTAAAAACTTTTCCACCTCAAAAGACTATCAAGAAAATAAAAAGACAAACCATAAACTTGAAGAAAATATTTGCAAATCATATAAGGGATTAGGGATGTGACTCCAGAATATATAAAGAACTCTTTAACTTAACATTAAGATAAACAACCCAATTAGAAAATGGTCAGGGGCCGGCTGAGTGGTTAAGTTCACGCGCTCCGCTGCGGCGGCCCAGGGTTTCGCAGGTTCGGATCCTGGGCGCGGACATGGCATCGCGCATC